CATATAATGGTAAATATTTTAGATTAAATACTGAATATGTTTTTTGATTTAAATAATAATTATGCTGTATCTTCTACGTAGATAGTGTGTACGTTAACTTCCATGTGAACGCGACATTCCCTCAAAAAGGCAGTAATAATCTAGCAATAAATTACAACAAGATTAACATCACATTTCAAGACCCAGTTTCGTTTGTGAATAGCAATCTGTCTATTTATCAAATGTCTAGTCAAGGCGATATTCATAGACAAATTATTAATTCAAAAACCTGTACTCAATGTATTGTACTGGATAATGTTGTTATGCTTATCGTACCAAATGGATAATAATTTTGTCAAGAGTTCAATATATGATGAAGCCATTTTTGGAATTGATCCATATGTGTGGATTTTTCGAACAGGTTTCTTATAATTACAAGAATTTAGTTATTTGAATTTGTTTATTGATAGCAAAACTTATTGATTAATATCGATTAAAATAAATAGCTGACATCAATATTAATGAACGATCAGGTAATGAATGTAATCTATTTGTAAGGTTAATCTCTATATACATAATATATATCAACTCTAAACTTATTAATTTAGGTGATATCTGGGGATTACTACAATTAACAACAAATGGAACACCATATTTTTACAAATTGAGTGATTCAGAAAGATCTGTCTTGTTTACCGAATTTATAAATGAACTCACAGTTATAATTCCCACGGAGAACGGTAGACTGAGCACAAGTGAGTGTTATCAGCTCAGCTTGACGCTACCACTCGATCACATGTTCTTATTTCACTTTTTGTTATTCAAGCAAAAAGTGGCGAAAAATTGTCTAGCACACGATTAGCGAACAATTTTAACCAATTAATAACGAATGGTGCACTTTCAACAAGCTAGTAAGAACCATTTTTGTACTTTTATAGTGAATTTAATATAATCTATTTTACCATAATTGTTTCTCTTCAATAGATCCAATATTCGAGTATTTTGAATTACATAAGACAAAGTTCATTTTGCTCTTCGCAGCTATGGCAATACTTTTACACTTATTCATAATAGCAAGATTAAAATCACCGAAGGTAATGATTTTATTTAATTAAAATAATTCGATTTTAGTTTCTTTCTGCATGTCTAAGATAATGATGCCTGACGAATGACGTAACCCTTTCGTCATGACGAATGACGAACCATTTCGTCAGGCAACTTCGAAATGACGAATGACGAATGACGTAACTCGTGACGAATGACGAAACTCA